ACACAGCCTGCTGTTCTCTATGGAGTGGACTGGCTGCGTGTCCATATACATTCCTCTGTCATCTGATCTGCTACATGGATGGGGAATGGATCCCCCATCCATCCGTTTTTAAAGGAGCTGATCAGATTGGATGCAGGCGGCTGTATATGTACACGTCTGATTACATTCGCCTCCCCACAGAGAACAATGGGTGGTCCGATCAGTCTGCCCTTGTGAAGGGGCTCTAACTGAACTCTGTTTATATCAGGTGTGCAGAGTCTTAGGGCTTGTTTACTCATGCCTTGGCCACTATACTCTGCTTCTTGGGGGCAGAAAAATGATCCCGCATGGTGCCTTCGGGGGGGGGGGGGGGGGGGGGGGTCACAAGTGCCGAAGAACAGCTCCCATTCAGGCGAATGAAGCTGCAACCTTCTGTAATGCACACGATTGGAGCACAGTGGTGTGACATTTACAGGGTTCAAACAGGTGGTGAGGATGCAATATATCACCTCTTTACTGCCTGTCAGATTCATCTGTAAGGTGACCTATTATGGATTGCTTTTCAGAGGCGCAGCAAGTCGTTCCACAGATGTAAACCTAGCCTTACAGTCAGTCAGACTAATGTTCCCCGATGATTGGATAGTTCTGAATCTGATCCAGTAGGGGGCATGTTGGGCCTCTGCAGAGAGGTCACTGCTTCCATACAGAGAGCAAGGGTCCCTTTCTGCAGCTGCTGGCAGTGGGCAGGCTTTTCTACTTAGGGATCATGTACACTGCAGCTGATAAACTCACGTTTAGGAGCTGTTCAGCGTTTTTTTCAGCAGCCCCTGAACTCCCTCTAATGTTTTCCTATGTGTCCATGTACACATCTTCGTTTACAGTCGTTTACAGGCAGTTAGTTTTACAGTCATTTTTTTGAACGCAACAATTTTGCGTTCAGACATCGATTTTATCAGTGTTTCAAATGCAAAACGCTTGTAAATGCGGCAAATCGCGTTTATTAGCTTTTGGGTTTGAAATTTTTTTTTTTAAATCTTCCAGTTCCCAATGTTGTCCAGAGCCTTTTTTCATCATGAAAAATGCATGCAAAGAGTTTTCAAGGTACTCAGATAGACAAAACACTGAACACAGGATGTTCCTACCAAGCTTGTCTCACATTGTAATGACCAATTCACACCTCAGACCTCTCCCACCCTTGGAAACAAAAGATATGTTAATGACCATTCACACCTCAAATTCCTTATGAAGACCCCCTGCCAGGTGACCTTAAAGACTCACTCCAGCAGACACCTTCCAACACTTGGAAACAAAGTAAATGTTAATGAGCAACTCCCACCTAATTATCTCAACATATACTGCTGTCTCTGCTTCTACTCTCTGTATTTCTCTGAAACAGTCTGAAATAGTTAATAATTTACCACTTTTCAGTGCATTCTGGGCATTTGGGAGGTTCTCCTGTGCTTATCTTTAAAAAATGCTTCTAAACGTAAACGCGTTATGCAAACGTGGCTGAACAGACATTTTTTAACCTACATTTTCCAGCAGTCAGTTTCCAGAAACGTCCCGTGTACATCGGGCCTTAAAGTGAGACTAAAGTCTACATTTAAAGACCTGGACTTCAAGAGTTAACCTGTTAAAGTGGAGTTAAACTTGCAGAAAGAATAAATAGTGCAGTGCTAAAAAATGACAATATGTATTCGCAGTGATTATAGTATGATTCAATATGAACAGTCTGTGCAGTTGTAAAAATGCCAAGTGACTGGTAGACTCAATGGTGGTGCTCCGTGATACATAGCTGAATTGCGCACTCACCAGAAGTATAATAATAATACGCGTTATATATTATTATATCCAGAAGTATCCTCATCAGGTAATGGTCTGGTCAAATTTGGTTGTCCTCCCTCAGGATGGTCATCAGGTGCCCAGGATGGTCATCATCAGGTGTAAAGGAAGTAATAAAACAAGCTCATCTGTGTATATGAGAGATGACCAATCCCCAAAACGTCCTGCAGGCGCCACAGGTGGTTGGTGCAATAGCACCTGGGCTAATGGAGACGGTCAATCCTTCAGAATGGTGGTGTTGGTAGAGCTGATCCAGCGGCGTTTGTGCAAGAAGGAGCCTAGTAACCAGCATGGAACACTCCGGCAGGATGTGACATCACAGGAAGGATAGCGCTCACTTTTTTCCATTGATTTTATGGAGTTAAACTTGCATTTAGAAAAAACAACAATGAATTTTTCGGATAGAAAAGGGTCCTATCTGTTTCTTCTGTCACAAATTCTATTACCACTCCCTTTTGTAGAAACTTGGTACAGCGTCCCTATTATATAGATAGGGGTTTTTACATATATATATATATATATATATATATATATATATATATATATATATATATATATATATAAAATCCATGCAGGTGTCTCAAGCTTTCACACAGCTGTCATGAATAACCCCCGTAATTTGTGGAATGCTTGCTTCCTTTGGTCATCAGCTCCATCTAGTGGCTATAATGTTGTATTTTCCCCATTTAAATATTTCAGGAAAATACTGTATTATGGCCACTAGATGGAGCTGACAATCATAGGAAGTAAACCTTTGGGGATTATTTGTGACCGCTTTGAGAATTCTTGAAACAATTGCCCACCAAATTTTTTATAAGTGAACCCCATAGTGTAGTTCTCTATATGTGGCATGGTAATTCAGTGGTTATATGTAGTCACCAGGAGGGACCCCAGTACATTACAGAATGGGGGTCACTATTGTGTTCTATTCAGTGTTTATACTACTAGTAACCTTGAAAAGGTTAAAAGCTGTTGTTGCAGAGCATACTTTTCAACCTGTGTCATTTCAGGTGTCCTTACCTTACATAGTATTCATTCTCTGGGGATTTTACAAACCTGTTTTGATTTTGTTGTTGGTAGTGCTTTGGGAGGACACAATGCCACAGGGAGAGCGACTCTAAACTTTCCTCGTTTTGCTGGGTCAGCAGGGAGATGAAGAGATATATGTAAACACTTTTGAGCTCATCTGACTTCTAAGAAGAGATGTCGCCCACTTGTGCCATATTAAAGTGTACCTGTCACCTCCACACACTGAACAGAACCTTTCTGAGGGCTTATTTGATATGTAGGAGGCTTCAGACAGGAAAACATTGACACAATGGTGGTGCTGTTCTAGGGATTCAATATATACAGTATTTAAAGGATAAATTAACCTTTTGGGAAGGTCATCTTTGGGGTGGCTGGAGCATGTTACACCCATATTTAGGGTGTAAGGTCCAAAAGGTGAACTTTAAGAACCTGAGACAGGAGGGTTACATATGTAAGGATTGGGGTTCAATAATGGCCCTTTGGTCCATTATTAAATTCCAAACTTACTTATAATATAGGCTATGGTTGGGCCAACATACTGATAAATCACTAACTGGCAGATTATTGTGATTGCAGGAATTGATTCAGCAGAGCAAGACCTATGTAGCAGGTGCTTTTGCTGGGAAGACTCACTTGAAACTGAGATTTCAGCTGTAGGAGGTCCCTGTAATGCTGCTGGCTTCTGCTCTCGCAGTGCTGCTTCCCAGAACTTCCATTCTTTACAGAAAAGTGTTAACAGTGGACAGTACAGTCAGTGAAGCCAGTCTGTTAACTTGAAAAAGGGAGGAGATGGGCAGGCCCGTGCAAGTTGTTTGGTTCTCTTGATGCACACATTGTAGGGAGACACAACGTTAGGCCCTGTATGCAAGTGTCTTCATAGGATGCTGTAAGAGAACAGAGCCACCTTGAAACAGGAAATCTGGGTCATCATGGCACCAACTAAAAGCAGAAGTAAACCGCCCCAAAAAATAAAAAAAAAAACCTCCCTGTAAGTTAAGAGATTGAGTAAGAAATTCGAATTCTTGATTTACCTGTAAAATCCTTTTCTTGTAGTACAGTACAGGACACATGCCACCCTCCCCTCCGTCCTAGCGTTTCCCTCTTATTGCTTGCTATAAAACGGAGGATTGCTGGGATTAGTAGAGGTTATATGGACTGTCCATTATGGAAGACTTACCTGAAAAAAGCCTTCTAGCAGAGAGCTGTCATGGCTCACCAAGGCTTCCATCTTCACCCAGTCTTCCTTCCGTGTTTATGAGCTGCGGCCATCTGATTGGCTGAACCGCTATATCGTCACTCCCGCACATGCACGTGGGCGTTTTGGCCGCAGCAAGGCTCTCTCAATGGACGGCATGCCATCACCGGCACTTCTACAGTAAACATCTAAATGGTGCACATTTAGGAGATCTTTACCATAACTACAGAAATGCCTTATTAAAGGCTTACCTTTAGGTAAAAGATACCAAAGTGGGTTTACTTCCACTTTAAACTGGAACAAAGGCAAGGATTAAAAGATAAACAAGCTGTATACTCGGCAAGTGATTACATCGGGTATTGAAAGTGTTTAAAAATTTGAGGGCTGAATATCACTTTACTTTGTTGTTGGAAATTTTGCTTTTAGCTGCTGATCTCTGCAAACAACAGTCCTTTTTTTTTTTCTTTTTTCTTTGACAACAGAGTAGGCGAGAATAGCCTAGAAAATGTCTGCAAACAAGCCTAAAGCGCCACCTGCTGGCTGAAAATAAGAGTAGATAATGTTCAAATTCAACACTGCATATTTAATGGAGTAAAAATAATATTTAATTTGTTAACCCCAACCTTATTGAATAGATAGTTGCATAACAAGCCCTGAAAAATATCAGTTAATGGTGAAATGTGATTGTTTGTTTTTTTTGTTTTTTTTTTGACTTTCTGTACTTTGAGCATTGTTCTTGTATGGGTTCTGTAGAGTTCTGTTTTTCACAATTTTATTGCAGCTTCATTTTCTTAATCAGTTTGATGCTGATTCATGCAATCTGTAAGAAACACTATCTATATTCCTATCGGCATTCAAATATTTGATCTATTTTTACTTTGTTAGGAGACCATGATAATGAATGCTTAGATGTGACACATCTGATTATATCTCTGCTTATTAATGTCTTCCATAGATTGAAAAACCAAAACCTCTGAAATGTGGAACATTCGGTGCCAGCTCGTTGCAACAGAGATATTTGGCCACCGGTGACTTTGGAGGCAATCTCAATGTATGGTAAGGTTATATTTCAGGACAACTACACCCGAAACTCCTACAGGTTTTTATCACATATCGGCAGGCAAGGAAAGAAGAGAGTACCTTCCGGAAATCTCATGCTAAAATATGTGCACAAACAACATCCAACATGTGATGACAAGATTAGAAAATACAGCATGTAATTGTTGGCACAGTAACCGTTGCCATCCAGTCACCCAGCGCAGCACAACGCACAGTACACATCACCGGTGCCAAGCACGCTGAAAGTAGATTGGGATTCTAATGCTATGCAGCTCCATCTGCTGGCTTTAGCTGGTGAAACACCAAACCTGAACAGAAGCTGCTATAATTTATAGGCTAAGTTCACCTTTTGAAAAAAAAAATTATAAATGCACCTTTTATTGCAGCTAAAAAAAAAGTGTTATTTTCTTTTTCTAAGGCCTGCGGTGCATTATACCTGTGATCAGCAGATCGTGAGTGTAATGTTGGCCTCATACAGGCAAGCAATTACTGGAGGCAGGAAGATCAGTGGACTGTGACAGTGCTCACCAGTGGCCTCGTAGTTTATTGAGAACTACACGCCATCAGCTGCAAAGGATGATGGTACTTGTAGTCTTTTCATTCACAGGAATCTGACGCGGCTGCGTGGACGGAGCCCCGCACAGCTGCACTTTTTCTCAAATTATGACAGCGGGTGCCAGGAGAAGATCCCACGCCTGCTGTCACAGGAAAGGTGGGGTGGGGAGGGGGGATAGGGGAGAGAAGGTGCAGATGCTGCAACAGGTTACATGCTCCAACCTAAAAATAGGTGGAGCATGTAACATGTTTCAATGGTGAACTTATCTTTTAACGGGTAACACCTCCATAAAATAATATAACATAAAAAAAAAATAATATAGCGCATACAATTGTTACAGAAGTCATGTTGTAAGCCATACTAAAGGCTTCATTTTTTATTTATGTATTAATTTTTTTTAATAAAAATGAGGTAATACCTGCTCCGTGCAATGATATTGCACAGAATGGTCTAATTCTATATGTATGTATGTATGTATGTGTGTGTATATATATATATATATATATATATATATATATATATATATATATATATATATATATATTATAATTTAAATTTAAATTTTCTGGCAGTACCGCACCAGTGCTATGGCTTCTCCTTCCTCCAGGTGTCTCGTGCAGCAAGCCAGACTTTAAGGAGATACTGTGCATGCTTGTTCCCAAGCCAGGCGGTGTGCCTTCATAGACTTACACAGCGCCCCTGCTTCCTCATCACAGGAGTTTGACAGCAACAGGATACTGTGGCTTCACTGTCTTCAGTTTCTCCAGTAAAAGCAGGATGTGAAGGGAGCAGTGACATGGAGCCAGATATGGGTTGGAGAATGGATAGGGGAAGAGTAAAACAAGTAGTGGGGCATTTACCCTAATGCAGAGAATGTGTTCAGGTAAAAAACCTTAGACTTAGGACCACTTTAATGTTATTAAAAATGACTTTTCATTTCCAATCTGTAACCACTGTAATTGTCTGTAAAATTCAGTGCAATATGGCAAACAGGGAGTGTTCTGTACACCATTGGTAAAATGTAATTTCATGCTTGTGTGATTGGATGATTTTCCCAGAAGTCTGCAGTAAGATACAAGTCATATTTTAGGTTCCCCCTGCAATTGGAACCTCAGTTTTGGTGAGATGCTGCTAAAAGGATACAAACACTGCAGCTTTTCTCATTAGAACACTGAAAGTGCAACATGTGATTATATTAAACTAGATCCTCCCATTCAGAATCAGTATCCAAAGGACATAATGGAACAAACAGCTATTTCAGCACAATAAAATGGAGCAATCCATTAGTTTAAAATCCCTGCAATGTAGATTGACCGCCCAGAGGGGATTGTTGTGTTTTTTGTTTTTTTTTTTACCCTTGCACTGCCATGTTTCTATGTGACGTCATCGTGAGGCTGCCTGCTCTTCTGGGTCCAACTGGTGGGCCTCCCAATCATGTGCCCTAGGACCACCCCCCTGCTCCTTTGTGAATGAAAGACTAAGGCCTCCTAGCGTATGTGATGTACATATTCCAGGAGGCACAGCAAGCACAGTACACATCATTTGCCTGGGTGATTGACTCATAAACGAGGCTGGACTTAACTCTTTTTCAGTTAAAGAAAAAAAAAAAAAGGAGGGGGTAAACAAAAAGCCGATGATAATGAAGCAGAGAACAGGTGGAGAGAAGGGACTTTTGATTTGAGACTGAAGATCCATTTTAAACCTCTTGTCCACTGCACTTGAAGGGCTATTGGGGGTGGCTTGAAGGAGATAACTACTGTACTGTATGTTGGTTTCCAAAACTTTGTGCCTAGCACACTGGAAATGATTATGCTAATATTTTCCTGTGCGTTTGTATTAGGGACCTGGAAGCTGCTGACACCCCAGTGTATTCTGTGAAAGGACACAAGGAAATCATTAACTGTATTGATGGAGTTGGGGGGTTAGGCATTGGAGAAGGAGCCCCCGAAATTGTAACAGGAAGTCGTGATGGTAAGATGTCTTTATAATAGATGTATAGGAACCCATATATGTATAGCTGCCCATTCATGGTCAGGTTTTTACTGGTTATATTCAGGCAAAACATTGACAGGTACTTAATAGAGGCGTCATCCTTCAATCTGAGCTCTATACAAATAAATATAAAAAAATATGTGGCAGTGTATTCATTAAAATATTTATTTTTTAAATCCAGCTGGATTACAGTGGAAGTTCAGTCAAAAACTAACCAAGGCTAAACCTCCTCCCATCCCTATTCTAAACTTATTCTATCTAATCCTGTAAAGATATGTATACTTTACCTATTCTGAAGCCGCTCTGACCCGGTCACATGATGTCTCCAGTGGCGGCTTCTGTTTAGAGGAGAGATCGCCAGCAATGGCTGCAAATGCTTGGGAGATCACATCACCCATAGGTTCGATATGGGGCATCAAGAAATGTTTGCCCAAAAGAAATCCACTGGGACACCAGCACTCCAAATAACAGCCCCTGAAAAGTTTGGCGAGAAAAAAAAAAAAAAAGGTAAAATCAATTGGCTGACGTGTGATGTCACTTAATATCAAAAAGGAAATGTGATTCCCCAAATTTATATACAGTTAATACACAAATGAAACCTGTTGAGTGGGTAGCCAACACTACACAAATAAATGCTACACTGACCGGTGGGTTCTGCAGCCTGCATATCCGGAGGGAATACTCCATCTTGGATATACACAAAGGGAGAGAGCAAAAAGGAACAAACACCATCATAGTGTATTAAAAGCATACGCTTTTAGTAAAACGCTGTGAGTTGCACTCACAAGAGCAAGTAGGAGACAGGTGGAAGTGACAAGATTCGCAGCACCGGAGCTCAGCATCCAACGGTGAGGGAAGCCCAACAGGCAACATCCAAAGAGATGGTGTAAGGCGACGGTGTCGCTCTATAGAAGCTGGAACTCATTCGTCCAATTGGGAAGTGGCCGCAATGACAGGGTGATAATTAAGAATCTGCTTGCGCTCCTATGTAAAATACAATTGGTAAACGTGTGAAGCTGCTAACATCTGATCCAATACCCCAAGATCAAAACAATGCAGAAGAAATACAAATGATGTAGCGCTAAAACACCCAGTTAAAGCGTCAGTGCCTTAGGACATGCAGCATGATGTTAAAATCCTATATGAACATAATACATATATGTGCGTGATGATACTGACAAAATGGAAAACAGATGTGCAACCCCTACACACAGTGCACATATATGAATATAAAGTCCAGTGATCCTGTATCAATATTTGCACTCAAACAGAGTCCTTGGACTGTATGTGGGCCCGCACACCACCACGTGCAATCCGAAATCAGCTGAAGTGGCCTCTCACCTCCTCCCTGCGACCCTGCAGGGCCACAGAGCTTTATCAGATCCCCACTGAGTCAAGGTATGCTTCCTCTTGAGTGGATGGTTGGTATATCCCCAGTATACAGCTTCCACCTCTCCTGTGGTATCCTCCGAGGTGAGCTGAGCAGGATGCACCCCAGAGCCCCATGGGATAAAGGAAGCAAAAGACATCCTCCATAGTGTAAAACCGTTTAATAAATGCCGGAAAATAAATGTATAATACACTCACATTTGCCAAATAACATACAAGCTGTTTCCCATAGCATGGGTGTATGCGTGTGGCTGAGGGTGTACCAAGATGGCGCCGCGCCGGAAGTGCGTCACCACCACGTATTGCCGTCGAAGCGTTGCGTCACGTGACCCCGTGACTTCCTCAGGACTGAGGAAGTCACGGGGTCACGTGACGCAACGCGTCGACGGCAATACGTGGTGACGCACTTCCGGCGCGGCGCCATCTTGGTACACCCTCAGCCACACGCATACACCCATGCTATGGGAAACAGCTTGTATGTTATTTGGCAAATGTGAGTGTATTATACATTTATTTTCCGGCATTTATTAAACGGTTTTACACTATGGAGGATGTCTTTTGCTTCCTTTATCCCATGGGGGCTTGAGCTGGGGTGCAATGACAGGGAACGTCCTACTCCGCCTGGTGCCGACATCACTTAGGGAGCATTCGCAGTCAATGAATGTATTTTCAGAGGCATTGCTGATAAAGAGGAAGATGCACCTGAAAATGCATTAATTAATTGCACATGCTCCTTGAGTGACATCTGCACCAGGAGGAGGCCGTTCCCTGTCTTAGTGGCCACTTCCGAATTGGACAGATGAGTTGCAGCTTCTATATACGGTGGCAACTGGCGCCCTATATCATTTCTTTGGCTGTCGCCTGTTGGCTTCCCTCACTGTCGGACTCTGAGCCCCCGTGCTGCAAATCCTGTCACTTTCGCCTGGCTCCTACTTGCTCTTATGAGTGCAACTTACAATTTTTCTATAAAGTGTTTTTTTTTAATACTACCCTGTGGTGGCCCCTGCACCTGTTTGCTCTCTCCCTTACTATGGGGCATCCATTGTTGACTGTCCCTCCTCTACATTGAAGCTGCCGCGGACAGCTGATCATGGGACTGGACCTGAGCTGCTTCAGAATAGATAAGTATACAAATCTTCTCTAACAGGGTTAGATAGAATAGGCTGAGACTGAGAGGTGGTAGTAGATTTGGCCTTTAGTTAGCTTTTGTGAAAAAATGTCAGCAACAAGATGAAAATGAAATAAATCATCTTTATTAAAAACGAGGAGTAAATGATCCATAGCACAACTCACTCTAACGTGTTTCAGCCCAGAAAAAGACCGTATTCATAGCATATTCATGGCCTATGAATAAGGTCTTTTTCTGGACTGAAACGTGTTGACGTGGGTCGTGCTATGGAATATTTTACTCATTTTCAGTAAATAAGATTTATTTACTTTTCACCTTGTTGTCCGACATTCGTTCACAAGTATCTATTGGGAAGCAGATGGAGACTGCTAGTCTGGCACGGTGAAGCACCATACCAAAGCCTGGGAGAGAGTAAATTGGGTTGCAGCACCTCACCTGTGTGGTTAATTAATTTTTCACTGAACCTCCACTTTAAATACTAACTTTTAGTTACCTGTAGGAATTATCACTGGCCAATGTAGCTGGCTGGTAAAGATTGTTAGATGTGTTTACCTCCAGCCTGCTGTTCTCAGTTGAACAGGGTGGAATATTTTTATTCCACCACCAGATAAGCCCAATGTTAGTGTCTGGCCATTGTCTCCTATTTCATTTGGAGGTTAAATTCTGCATTTATGCAATGCCATCATCTGATGTCCACACCTAGCTCTATTGAGTGACACCATAACCATGAAATATAAAGAGACAATGCTGTCCGAGGTATTTTACCTCAATGGTCAAACTTCACAATGCCAAGAGCTGTAAACAAAAGTGGAGACCTAATGTTCTTTATAGGAGGTTTGCAAGAGCTGGAGAGTCCTCCAAGTTACCATCCAGGGGAGACCCAAGATAACTACTGAACTGAAAATATTATTAATATGATCAAATGGCCACACGAGTTACTGATGACCAGCTCTTCCCTCGCAAAAAAAAGTTTGCATACCAACCAAAAGTTCATGTATGGTGTGCCACCCAGCTATGGCACACCATATAAAGAATATAGGCACTCCCAACACACTTATGACGTTTGACCAAATGAAACCATTCAAATAGCATTGCCACTTCATATTCACTTGTGGTGTCACCAGTTAGGAATTTCAGTTTTATTCTCAAAATCCTAACCAGGACACTGGTATGATTTATCCCAGTGTTTTCATGATCTGTCAGAGCTAGATTCCATTTGTTAACCGTTGTCATGGCCATGTTATTTAGAAGGAAAGAAATCCAAGATCTTCCTTCCCTGAATGCTTGCTAGATGGTTATAGTGGTGCAGTAACCAAAGAGGCCTAACAGGTGCTTGGCGTGGGATGTTTACTGTCATGGCTTTCTGTTGGTACCCGGCTTTCCCTTGCACATACAGTACAGTAAACACATTTATAAAACTTTTACGTTTGTGTTCCAAATTGGTGTAATTTCAGGTACAGTAAAAGTATGGGACACGAGGCAAAAAGACACTCCAGTTGCTAATATGGAACCAGCTGAAGGAGAAAACAAGAGAGATTGCTGGGCAGTGGCCTTTGGTATGTCTGTAACTGTTGAAATTGCAAATCAAATGACGTCACTTTAGATAAAAAAAATAAAAACAACAATAATGACATTACACAGTATGTTTTAACAAAAGGCGTAAAACAGGTGAAAAGCAGATAAGTTCCTGCAGTGGGCTTTTTGGTCCAGTTTAAAGGCTTCACTATTTGTGCAAAAGATTTTAGAACATAAATAGTTTTTCAATAACCTTTAGGTTAATAGCTAGGGTGATCTTAAAACAGCCAAAACTTATACACCATAGCGCTCAGGGACACTTGAGGAGCTGACAGGTAATAAAATATAAACATTCAAATAAATATCAGAGCTGAAATGGTCTACCAGTGCTGCCCTGGTGAGATTGAGGAATGTTAAAAACATAAATGAACAAAGGGCACAAAGGCCTTCAAAATGTATTTAATAAAAAAAAAAAGTGCAAACTCACAGAAGCCAACGAATGGAAGCGTAGTACAAAACCCAGAAACTACAATGGTGATCCAAAAGATGGAAGTCACAGCGTTCTTACGTGAATCAGACTACAGCTGACGAGTTTTAAGGGGCATATTATCTTCTGCAGAGCAAATTTAAAAGTTTTGCACAGAAGAAGAGGGAGGGAATGCCCTTCAAAATGCACCAGCGGTAGTCTGATTCATTGTGAGGACGCTGTGACCTTTTGTCTTTTGGATCATCATTGTGGTTTCTGGGTTTTGCACTATACTTCCATTCCTTGCTTTTTGTGAGTAAGCACTTTCTTTGATTCCATAAATTATGATGGTGATGCACTAGGCTTCGGTGCTCTTTGTTCATTTTGAGAGCTAGGATGAACCTGCGCTATGCCCATGCAAATGTGTTTAGGTTTGTATATCCATCGCTCCCCTGCAGCTCTGTTCACCCAGGGAGGCAAAGCAACATACTTGGTTCTTCCGGTTTCGGTACTATGGAGTATCATGCGGATCACTCCCCTTCCTTCAGTATCACATTGCTGGTGCTTGATTATTAGCTGATCAGATACCAGAACTGTTACATTGTAGCTGGTTGAAAGTCCTTTAAAGATTTCCACCAGCAGCTGTTTTTAGTGAAAATTACCGACTATGGTGTCCGTTTATGAACCAGCGGTAATAGATCGCTGCTCAGTTCTCCTGTGAATGCAGTTTATGAAGCAGTTCTCCGAACGAAGGGAGAACGTTCTCCAAATGCTGGAGAACGGTCTACAAACTCTGGAAAACGGCTGATTTTACTATAATCTCGTGAGATTACAGTAAAAGATCAGTTTACTAAGCAGAGGTAAATTATCTCTGCTTAGTTTGTGGTCCCTCTGATTCTCCAGCTCTGGGCTGGAGAATCTGGAGGGAGAACACAGATCTCCAGAAAAGGGCTGACATGATCTCCTGAGTGTCATAAACTGTGAATGACCAGAGAATAGCTGAGATCCGTTGAATCGCAGCTATTCTCTGTGTCATAAACGGACACCTATGTCCCCACACTTCCTCTCTTACAAGTACAGGGAAAATGGGAGAATCTGCCTAATATTTATAAAAATATTTAGCTAAAGCACCACCTTAGCCTGACTGCTCATTCACACCATAAGGTGTGATCGAGCGTGTTCACTTTTTAAAGTGTTCCTGGGCAGCCCATTAATTTCAGTGGTCTGTCCTATATGCGTGAAACATGCAAAAATACTGCAGGCATATACACATATTTATGAGATGTGTGGAAGTACCTGTGCACCTCTGCAGAAGGCAGCATGTTTTTGTGCAGTGCGGGAAAATACACAATTTTGCATGCATTCACCCCCCCTCCCCCCCACCACACCTGGTGTGAACAAGCCCTAGCTATACTAAATAAGTGAGTATTTCCAGCACCATGATGGCGATTGCAGTTTGTTATTAAAGTGTTTGTAAAGGCTGCAGAGAAAGAGGAAGGAGGTACATTTATTGCTTTTTGTTTGTGGAGCCTTTAAAGCATTGCATCCGTGATCAGCAGATGGCTGGTGCCATGCAGGTCTCCCCCCCTGACCTGCCAGTATATCTGCTTGCTCATGCATCTCGTATGGGCAAGCAGATACTTACTGACAGGAAGGCTCAATGAACTACCACGGCGCTGTGGAATGCAAAGGTTGCTGGGACTTGTAGTTTTCCCATTTGCAGAATGCTGTGAATGAGTGAGTTTTTTTAAATTGTGACAGCCAGCAGGGAGGAGAAGATCCCCCTCTAGCTGTCACATCAGGGGGGAGTGTGGGGGGCCGGTCCGATCGTTGCATGTTACACCCTGAATATGGGTGTAACGTGTTACGAAGGGTGAACTTATCCTTTAAGGTAAACAACCTTCCTCTTCTAAATATTTATCTGAGCCTGATCTCGATCTAGCGCTGTGCCAGGGAGCAGCAGTGTTACTCTCTCTCTACCCTCCCAGGATTTAGGCAGCAGCAAGAGCCATGAGCTCCTGCTGCTGTCAATCAAATCCTGTGAGGAGGGGAGGTTGGGGCTGAGCTGCCTGTGTGTGTCAATAGATGCACACAGTCTGGCTTAGGATTGAGCCAGCGCAAGTGACACTTGCAAACCAATTGCTGTGGGGGCAGTTGGAAGGGAGGAGGAGTTAAGGGTGCCAGCGGGGGACCCTAGAAGAAGAGATTCAGGTCTGCTTTGTGCAAATCCACAGAGCAGATAAGTATAACATCTTTAGTATTTTATGAAAAAGAAACCATTTACAGTCACTTTTAAGCAAAGGGTAATATGTCCTGTTGCATTGCTTTGTAAATGATCACTTGCATTCTTCATGTGTATGAAAGAAGATTGTCTATTGGCAACCCTGATTTTTCCCTTCCAAAGAGTAGCACATCTCTGAGTCCAAAAAAAACAAATTAAACAGAGGTTAAATACTCTCAATGGCTAACTAGTGAGAAAAAATACCAAGCTTTTAAGTCAAAAGATTGGGCAAGTCATGTTTTAGAAAATGTACATACAGTTGCATCTCAATAAATTAGAATATAATCAAAAAGCAAATGTATTTCAGTAATCCAGTTCAAAAAGTGAAATGCATATATTATATAGATTCATTACACACAAGGTGATATATTTTAATCATTTCTTTCTTATGATTATGGCTTACAGCTAGTGAAAACCAAAAATTCAGTATCTCAGAAATTTAGAATATTACATAAGACCAAAAAAAAGAATTTTTAATACAGAAATGTTGGCTTACTGAAAAGTATGTCCATGTACACAGGAGCGGACTGACACCTCATGGGGCCCCTGGGCCCTCGCCCACACTTAAACCACACCCAAAAAAGCCTATGAAAGGTACCAGGGGCATATCATGGAGCCCTCTACTGACCCCGGGCCCTCGGGCAGTGCCCGAGTTCCCAAATGGTCAGTCCGCCCCTGCATGTACAGTATAGTATGCACTCAATACTTGTTGGGGCTCCTTTTGCATGAATTACTGCATCAATGCGGTGTGGCCTGGAGGTGATCAGCCTGTGGCACTGCTGAGCTGTTATGGAAGCCCAGGTTGCTTTGATAGCGGCATTCAGCTTGTTACATTTTTGGGTCAGGTGTCTCATCTTCCTCTTGACAATACCCCAAAGATTCTCCATGGGGTTTAGGTCAGGTGAGTTTGCTGGCCAATCAAGCACAGTGATACTATGATGATTAAACCAGTTATTGGTACTTTTGGCAGTGTGGGCAGGTGCCACGTCCTACTGGAAAATAAAATCAGCATCCCCATAAAGCTGTAGAGCAGAGGGAAGCATGAAGTGCTCTAGAATTTCCTGGTAGAGGGCTGCGCTGACTTTGGACTTGATAAATCATAGTGGACCAACACTAGCAGAAGACATGGCTCCCCAAATGATCACTTACTGTGGAAACTTCACACTGGACCTCATGCAGCTTGGATTCTGTGCCTCTCAACTCTTCTTCCATCCAGACTCTGAGACCTTTATTTCCAAATGAAATGCAAAATTTACTTTCATCTGAAAAGAGGACTTTGGACCACTGAGCAACAGTCCAGTCCTTTTTCTCCTTAGGCTAGGTAAGACGCTTCTGACATTGTGCTCTGGTTCAGGAGTGGCTTGACACAAGAAATGCGACAGTTGTAGCCCAATTCCTGGATAAGTCTGTGTGTGGTGGCTCTTGAAGCATTGACACCAGCCGTAGTCCACTCCTTGTGATTTCTCCCCCAAATTCTTGGATGGCCTTTGCTTCACAATCCTCTTAAGGTTGCGGTTATCCCTGTTGGTTGTGCACCTTTTTCTACCACACTTTTTTCACTCAGCTTTCCATTAATATGCTTGGATACAGCACTTTGTGAACAGCCAGCTTCTTTAGCAATTACATTTTGTGACTTACCTTCCTTGTGGAGGGTGTCAGTGACTGTCTTGTGGACAACTGTCAGGTCAGCAGTCTTCCCCATGATTGTGTAACCTACTGAACCAGACTGACAAACCATTTAAAGGCTCAGGAAACTTTTACAGGTGTTTTGAGTTAATTAGCTGACTAGTGTGACACCATGGGGTTTATTTACTAAAGCTGGAGAGTCCAAAATCAGACTCCCTTCTGCATAGAAACCAATCAGCTTCCAGGTTTCATTGCCAAAGCTTCATTGAACAAGCTGAGGTTAGAAGCTGATTGGTTTCTATGCAGAAGGGAGTCTGATTTTGGACTCTCCAGCTTTAGTAAATAAACCCCCATGAGTCTACAATGTTGAACTTTTTCACAATATTCTAATTTTCTGAGATACTGAATTTTGGGTTTTCACTAGCTGTAATCCACAATCATCAAAATTAAAAAAAAAGAAATGCTTCTAATATATCACTCTGTATGTAATGAATTTATATATTATATACAGTTGCAAGAAAAAGTATGTGAACCCCTTGGGATTACGTGTAGTTTTGCATGAATTGGGCATAAAATGTGCTCTGAACATCATCTAAGTCACAACAATAGAAGAACACAGTCTGCTGAACATAATACTACACAAACATTAGATGTTGCCATGGTTTAATTGCACATAACATGTAAATATTCACAGTGCAGGGAGGAAAAAGTATGTGAGGTCCTAGCTTAATGACTTCTCCCAGAGCTAATTGGAGCCAGGAGTGAGCCAACCTTGACTCCAATCAGTGTGATGATATTGGATGTGTTGCTGACGGCTGTCCTGCCCTTAAAAAACACACACCTGTTTTGGGTTTACTGGTTTCAAGAAGCACTGTCTGATGTGAACCATGCCTCGAAGAAAAGAGCTCTCAGAAGACCTACGATCAAGAATTGTTGACTTGCATGAAGCTGGAAAGGGTTACAAAAGTATCTCCAAAAGCCTTGATGTTCATGTGTCCACGGTAAGACAGACTGTCTACAAATGGAGAAAGTTTAGCACTGTTACTACTCTCCCTAGGCGTGGTCGTCCTGTAAAAATGACTGCAAGAGCACAGCGCAGAATGCTGCATGAGGTAAAGAAGAATCCCAGAGTGTCAGCTAAAGACCTACAGAAATCTCTGGCACATGCTAACATTTTTGTTGACACATCTACAATAAGGAAAACATTAAACAAGAATGGAGTACATGGGAGGACACCACGGAGGAAGCCATTGCTGTCCAAAAAGAAATATTGCAGCACGTTTGAAGTTTGCAAAAGAGCACCTGGATGTTCCACAGCACTACTGGCAAAATATACTGTGGACAGATGAAACCAAGATTGAGTTGTTTGGGAAGAACACACAACACTATGTGTGGAGAAAAAAAGGCACAGCACACCAACATCAAAACCTCATCCCCACTGTGAAACATGGCGGAGGGAGCATCATGGTTTGGGGCTGCTTTGCTGCCTCAGGGCCTGGACGGATTGTTGTCATTGATGGGAAAATGAATTCCAGAGTTTATCAAGACATTTTGCAGGAAAACGTACGACCATCTGATCGCCAACTGAAGCTCCGCAGAGGATGGGTGATGCAACAGGACAATGACCAAAAGCATACAAGTAATTCAACAAAACAATGGCTGCAACAGCACAGAATACGCCTTCTGGAGTGGCCCAGTCAGAGTTCTGACCTCAACCCGATTGAAATGCTGTGGCATGACCTTAAGAGAGCGATTCACACCAGACATCCCAAGAATATTGCTACACTGAAACAGTTTTGTGAAGAGGAGTGGTCCAAAATTACTCCAGATCGTTGTGCAGGTCTGATCTGCAACTACAGGAAAAGTTTGGTTGAGGTTATTGCTGCCAAAGGAGGGTCAACCAGTTATTAAGTCTAAAGGTTCACATACTTTTTCCTCCCTGCACTATGAATGTTTACATGTTATGTGCAATTAAACCATGGCAACATCTAATGTTTGTGTAGTATTATGTTCAGCAGACTGTGTTCTTCTATTGTTGTGACTTAGATGACGTTCAGAGCACATATTATGCCCAATTCATGCAAAACTTCACGTAATCCCAAGGGGTTCATATACTTTTTCTTGCAACTGTAAGTTTCACTTTTTGAATTGAATTACTGAAATAAATTTACTTTTTGATGATATTCTAATTTATTGAGATGCACCTGTACATACATGGTGCTGAGCTTGTTTCCGATTTTAATATCTGTATTTCTGGAATGTGTTTTATTTAAGGTAATGCTTACAATCAGGAGGAGCGTGTTGTATGTGCCGGATATGACAATGGGGACATTAAGCTGTTTGACTTGAGAAACATGTCACTACGATGGGAGACGAACATTAGAAATGGGGTATGACCAGTGTTTATATAGTCTTAAAGAGTTGTTCCAGCCCAAGCTGATATTTAAGCTCCTGATCCAAAACCTCCCAGTCAGGGCTCTCCTACTGCCAAGAACTCCCACCACCACCACCACCACCGCCGCCATAGAGTGCTAACAAATGACCTGCAATTTTTGTAATTTGAGTGGTCATGGTTAGACCTTTTATCTCTATCTTTCATTCACTTTCCTCCACAATAATTTGTTTTGTGGCTGCCTGTATATGTATATTTTTACTGTGATAATCCACTTTGTTCTCAGGTCTGCTCCCTGGAATTTGATAGAAAGGACATCATTATGAATAAATTAGTTGCCACTTCCCTGGAAGGCAAATTTCATGTTTATGATCTTAGGACTCAGCACCCTACCAAAGGGTTTGCTTCAGTGACGGAGAAGGTAAAGTCCTTTCATCACACTATCCAATCAACATGGATGTTTCAGTACTGGTTGGAGTGGGACAGGGTTTATTCTGTCGCAGGATCTTCAGTAGAGTTTGTAACCCTATCAAGTGAGCCCTTCACAGCAGCAGAGCACAACATTTAAGCCAAACATTGGTTGTCACTGGCCATAGGGATTTAATGTGTGGAATCATTTTGTATAGTTACATTGGTCTAGCTTGGACTGTGTGCCATAGCTGACCGATCCCTGTGGAAGCTGGAAATCACTGTAGTAGACATGGCTATTATAATAATGGTCGCTAGCTTCCTGTGTTCAGTGGTTGCCCTGCTGCTTAGTGAACACAGGAGGTCACGTGCTGTGTGCAGATACCACTCAGAGAGCACTTTACATTTTCTCAGTGAATGCAAAGTGTTCTTTGGATATGGTGAGGATTGTGATATCTCAACCCAACCTCTCCACATCCTCCAATCAGAGAATGCTTTGCATTCATTGAAAAAATGCCCGGTGTTCTCTGAATGGCCCCATGTTAAGTGAGAAACCTCCTGTGTTCACTAAGCGGCAGGGCAGATGCTGATAACAGGACCTGGAAGATAGAGACGATCACTAATAGTGGTGCCTACAGCAGTGCTTTCCCAGCTTCCACAGGGATTGGCTCTATTCACGTTGAAGACCTATGATTTCTTTATTTTAAAAATCTAAATAGAAAAAACAATCTATAGCTATATAGAAACACGAAGCTTCTTTATCTCAAAATCCAGTCCACAGATCTTGTAACCCTAACAATAAACTGTAATAAAAGTTCATTTGTATTTGGTCATTCCTATACTGTTATTTTATTTTGATTAATCTTCAGATAATTCCCATTCCAAAAGGGCTAAGTTCTAAAGCACAAAAAATGAAAAGGTGAACTAACAGCCTATGCCCTCCCCACCCCTGTCCCACTGCCGTGAAAACCATGGCCTTCATCCACTTCTGTCCTTAGGGACACCAGGATGGACCAGAGAGATTCTGATTGGTGGCAGAACCAGTCAGAATCTCCCAGATCAATCCCAGAAGAGGACTGTGGTTTTCAAATGCCCAGTGCCCTGCATCGGCTGTGTGGGCAGTGAAAGAAGCTAATCATCCTTGAAGTACAGTGGGTACTAGGGGTGGTGGGAAGGGTTTAGGGTGTTAGTTCACCCCTTCAATTTTGTGAAAATGAACTTACACTTTAAGATTCGGGTTCAGCATTACAGACCAAGTCTAGTTGAATGTGACTAATTCATACTAGCCATACCATGACGTGATAAATGAGAACCTTCACGGACAAGATTTTGTGTACTTAATCCCCATCCATCGCCTCAGTGAGAAACTCCTGAGCAAACAATTGCTATAAATACACAATGAAATGAACATCTTTTTACTGTACTATCTGTCAGAAATCTGTACAGCCAGTTTTGTGATTTACATGTAGGGAGCTGTCACAGAAGAAGTAGAAGTGCCAAGAAGTAGCAGAGTACTCTTTATTACAAAAATTACAAAATCCTTGGCAGGCAGAACCGTAAACTTGTGTGTTTAGCTGCATGCCTAGAGTTCCACTTTACCTTGGCTTTAGTGCAAAAGGTTATTAAAAAAAAAAAAAAAAAGAAGTGCACAACTGTCAGGTCTATGCTGTTGTTGAGATACTATAGATGGACTAGGGACAAGACAAGGTGGAGTGTTATACCATATTTTGTACAATTTCTACTTTAACCTATGTTGTAAAAAAGGAGTGTAACATATGAAACTGCCCCAATGCGTAGTCATGTACTATGGACACTTTGTTAGAACAGGTGAAGGAAAAAATATTCTTGTTGGTCACTGTGATTTGCTAATTTTATTCACGTTTTGGTTTCTAATTTAAATATAATACATTTATCTACCAACCTTTTTATGATATTCAGCTCTGTTCTGATTTTTCCAGGCACTCAAATCTACTATTTGGCAAGTACGTCATCTGCCACAAAATAGGGACATCTTCATGACGACAGGAGGAGCTGGGAGTCTCCATCTTTGGAAATAGTAAGCATGTTCCCTTTTCTCTTCTAAGAAAATTTGCACTATACACCAACAGTTCTGGATGTGCGCTTGGCTAATTGGCCATAAAGGAATGGTTTGCATGGCTTTTCCCACTGTCCTGCAATGAGGAATAGTCCTCATATTTTTGGGATATATATTAGAATTAGATGTGTGAATTCATTCTGTTCTATTGTAAGTTCTCACAAACTTGCCTTTATTGTAATGTAACTGTACTGATTGATTGATTGATTCATTTACTTCCTTCTTACTATAACCTGTATGGTTATACTGTGTTGTTGGGTCCCAAACCCTGCTCCATATAAGCCATGGTTTTCATGTACTGCACTAATGATGGACAAAAAGCTTGAAACAATTGTATGCAGTTTGGTATTCATACAATGCCTTGAAAAAGTATTCATACCGCTTGAAATTTTCCACATTTTGTCATGTTACATCCAAAAGCGTAAATTTATTTTATTGGGATTTTATGTGATGGACCAACACAAAGTGGTACATAATTGTGAAGTGGAAGGAAAATGATAAATGGGTTTTCAAAAATTTTTTACAAAGAAATATCTGAAAAGTGTGGCGTGCATTTGTATTCATCCCCCTAGAGTTAATACTTTGTAGAACCACCTTTCCGTTGCAGTTATTATTATTATACAGTATTTATAAAGCGTCAACAGTTCGCTCAGCGCTGTACATTACAATGGGAGACAGAACATGCGACATTACAATAACAATACAATGCGATACGCGAGGGGTTCAAGGGCCCTGCTCCTTGGAGCTTACAATCTAGGAGGGAGGGGATAGTGGTACAGGAGGAAATAGCTGTGGGGGATGGAGTGGTAGGAAGAGTGGAGGAGGTTGGGAATTAGCAAGGGGTTGAGTAGGCTTCCCTGAAGAGGTGGGTTTTCAGGATGTGACTAAAGGAGAGGAGAGTAGGTGATAGTCTGATGGATTGGGGTAGGGAGTTCCAGAGTATGGGTGACGCCCTGGAGAAGTCCTGGAGGTGGGCATGGGAGGAGGAGACTAGGGAACTAGAGAGAAGGTCTTGTGAGGAGCGGAGAGTGCGTGTAGGGTGGTACTTGGACATTAGGTCGGTGATGTAGTTTGGGGCAGTATGATGGACAGCTTTGTACGTCGGTGCTAGTATTTTGAAATTGATCCGTTGGGCAATCGGAAGCCAGTGGAGGGATTGGCAGAGGGGGGGGCGGAAACGGAGTGGTTGGTAAGGTGGATGAGTCTGGCTGCCGTATTCAGGATCGACTGAAGTGGGGATAGCCTGTGGTGAGGCAGGCCAGTGAGGAGGGAGTTGTGATATGATGAGGGAGTGGATGAGCTGCTTAGTTGTTTCTGGGGTTAGAAACGTGCGTATTTTGGCAATGTTGCGGAGGTGGAGTCTGCATGAGTTTGTTAGTGATTGGACTTGGGGCTGGAAGGATAGATTGGAGTCAAGAATGACACCAAGTACTCCGGCCTGCGGGGCGGGCCTGATGGTAGCATGGTTGGACAGTTAAAGCTGCAAGTGTTTTTTGGGTATGTCTCTACCACAGGGCTCGACAAATCCCAGGTGCCAGGTCGGAATGGCATCTAGAAATTCTAGATGGCAGGGTTCACACACATCACGCCCCATAGACTTCTCTGGGAAGCCGCGCCCCGTAGACTTCTCTGGGACGCTGCGCCCCATAGACTTGTCTGGGAAGTCGCGCCCCGTGGACTTGTCTGGGAAGTCGCGCCCCGTAGACTTCTCTGGGAAGTCGCGCCGCGTGGACCTCTCTGGGAAGTCGCGCCGCGTGGACCTCTCTGGGAAGTCGCGCCGCGTGGACCTCTCTGGGAAGTCGCGCCGCGTGGACCTCTCTGGGAAGTCGCGCCGCGTGGACCTCTCTGGGAAGTCGCGCCGCGTGGACCTCTCTGGGAAGTCGCGCCGCGTGGACCTCTCTGGGAAGTCGCGCCGCGTGGACCTCTCTGGGAAGTCGCGCCGCCCTCTCTGGGAAGTCGCGCCCCGTGGACCTCTCTGGGAAGTCGCGCCCCGTGGACCTCTCTGGGATGCCGCGCCCCGTGGACCTCTCTGGGATGCCGCGCCCCGTGGACCTCTCTGGGATGCCGCGCCCCGTGGACCTCTCTGGGATGCCGCGCCCCGTGGACCTCTCTGGGATGCCGCGCCCCGTAGACCTCTCTGGGATGCCACGCCCCGTAGACCTCTCTGGGATGCCGCGCCCCGTAGACCTCTCTGGGATGCCGCGCCCCGTAGACCTCTCTGGGATGCCGCGCCCCGTAGACCTCTCTGGGATGCCGCGCCCCGTAGACCTCTCTGGGATGCCGCGCCCCGTAGACCTCTCTGGGATGCCGCGCCCCGTAGACCTCTCTGGGATGCCGCGCCCCGTAGACCTCTCTGGGATGCCGCGCCCCGTAGACCTCTCTGGGATGCCGCGCCCCGTAGACCTCTCTGGGATGCCGCGCCCAAGTAGACTTCACTGGGATGCCGCGCCCAAGTAGACTTCACTGGGATGCCGCACCCAAGTAGACTTCACTGGGATGCCGCGCCCCGTAGACTTCAGTGCAGAAACTCCTGTCAATAGCAATTCTATGTGAACACTTATTGAACACACAAACTCAAATAGGACCCTTTTCTTAATGGCACTCAAAACACGATGCGTGTTGATCGTATTTATGTGAACCGCCTCATAAGAGACACAAAAGATCTAGCCTGTTATGCGAATCTTTGAGTTTCAAAATGATACCAGAATCGCATATGTGTGAACCAGGGAGGTTCCATTCTCACCTGGGCGTTTTGGGATCACAGCAGTGTCGCTGTGATCACAAAACACAGGTACACGTGCCATTCTTTTCAGTGGTGCCTAAAACGTGGTTGCATTTTGCCGTGATTGTTGCACGGCAAATCTCATAGCGTGAAGTCTCGGACACTGACAACCCACTCTATGCTAAAAAGAAAAAAAATCTTGCTCTTAACTTTTTAGCTGTATCCTAGATTCAAAGCAAATTTGTCAAGCCCTGCTCTACCAGCTTTGCACATCTAGAGAGTGAAATCTTTGCCCATTCTTCTTTGCAAAATTGCTCAAGCTCTGTCAGATTGCATGGAGAGCGTCTGTACACGGCAAAAAATCTTGCCACAGATTCTCAATTGGATTTAGGTCTGGACTTTGACTGGGCCATTCTAACACATGAATATGCTTTGATCTAAACCATTCCATTGTAGCTCCGGCTGTATGTTTAGGGTCGTTTTCCTGCTGGAAGGTGAACCTGCACCCCATTCTCAAGTTATTTTGCAGACTCTAATAGGCTTTCTTCTAAGATTGCCCTGTATTTGGCTCCATCCATCTTCCCATCAACTCTGACCAGCTTCCCTGTCCCTGCTGAAGAAAAGCATCCCCACAACATGATGCTGCCACCACCATGTTTCACCTATTTTCAGGATATGTGATGGCATGAGACACGGGAATACCTTATGTTCTACTGTAAGCCTCCACAGACAGGACCCTTCTATCCTCCTTGTCTTGAATTGTATTGTAGCTACACTGTCTCCTTTTATCTTGTAAAGTGCTGCACCAGCTGTTGGAGCTATATAAATTCTGTATAATAATAACCTATATGGTTATACTATCTCTTCTAGCTTTTTTTCAACCTTTTTATTTTTTTTTTTCTCCAGAAGAACCCTTGAAATATTTTTCAATTCTCGGAGAGCCCCTGCTAACATTAGTCCGGGGGAGGAGGACATTAGGCAAATGCCCTTATATTAGCGGTCATTGGATTGGAAAGAATGCCCTCTTTTAGAGTTGGATAAAAAAGATCATTATAGTCATGTTACTGGCTCTGCCAAGTGGTGAAGGCCATGGAGCTATGCAAACACCATTAGATGGGAGGTCAATTAGCCACAGTTCAAGGAACCCCTAGCAACATCTGGAGAACCCTGGTTGAGAATGGCTGGTCTAGTCTAACAAAAAGAGATATTGAGATGGCTTCACAGATATCCTACCTCTCAATATACAATGGGGTTGATTTACAAAAACTGGGGAGTGCAAAATCTGGTGCAGCTGTGCACAGAAACCAATCCAATTCCAGGTTTTATTGTCAAAGTTTAATTGAACAAGCTGAAGTTAGATTTTGATTGGTTACCATGCACAGCTGCACTAGATTTTGCTCTCTCCAGTTTTAGTAAATCAACCCCAATGTGTAGAGTGTTACTTAATTTAACCTATCAGACTCCACCAACTAGTGACATCACCAGATCCTAGCAGTATTAATGGCTATATTCTTATTGAACAGGTAAACGTGGCCTAACATATGATTCAACTCCAATGATGGAGACAGGGCTCTTTGCTTTATAGATGTCAAACCGATGAATAAAGGTTGCTTCTTATTTGCATCAATATTCCTGGAGCTCACCATCTTTGGTACTGAATCCTTTTACCCCTGAGTGTATGTGTGGTCACTTTCATTTTAGTTTGATTATTAGTTTAATCCACAAAATAGATTTCACAAAAATAAAATGGAGACACATTACAGAAATAAAGTTTTTGGATGACGTTTAAGTTATTTAAATCTCAGTTTCAAACCGTTTTTATCCCGGTGACACCAGGAAATGAAGGGAATGGGGGTCACCAGGACAGACTGTAAACGAAACCTTGCAGACGTCCTGCCTTTTCCCCATTCTAGTTTAGGACTTGGTTCACATTTGTACAGGTGGTGCTGCTGAGGGACCTGCACAAATACCTGCAACTGCACTACCCACACAGAGGAATGCAGAATCCGCAGGTGGGTGCCATTAATTTTAATGGCACGCTACCTGCACTGGATATCGCAACTGTACTGGGAATCTTGGTTCCAGTGATGGCTGCGATTTCCAAAGTAGTGCAGGGACTTCTTCCCTGCGTGTTCCGGGGCACGGGAGTCCATTCAAATGAATGGGCTTTCATACCCACGCAAATCGCGGCCCGCACAGTCGCACATATGTGAACAAGGGGTAAGACATTGCTGCTGTGTTTGTCCAGATTGAGAGATTTCCCATTACTTCCTGTCCCTATGACACTCTGTTACCCAGATAGGGAGTTAAGAAAAATCTCTCAAATGGATCTATGGGCAGCAAGTTTAAGCGCTTGTTCACATTGTGTCCATTTTTCTGCACACCATCGTAAAATAAAGCCGTTTATGTGTGTGCATGTACCTGTGCTGCAACAATCGAGCTAACATAAGTGACGTCATTTCAAATATGAAATTTTTATGCTTTTTTATGTAATTTTATTAGGGAAGTTGCAGGTTTTGTTCAGAATGTAAAACGTGTAAAGACAAGGGGATACTAAGAAAATCAAACACACAGAAGAGAAACCGTATATGTGTAACTGTGTCTGGCTTCTGTTTACAAGGGTAAAAGAATGATTCAGAAGAATGCTTGGTAATTTTTTTTTTTTTCCCTTCACAGTGAATACCCAGCTCAACGGACAAAGAAAGACTCAGATGGAGTTGATATGGGTGTAGCCGGAACTGTCAGTCTCCTACAGAACGTTACACTATCAACACAGCCCATCTCTAGCATAGATTGGAGTCCGGATAAGAAGGGACTGTGCGTTTCCACAGCTTTTGACCAGACTGTCAGAGTGCTGATTGTCACCAAGCTCAACAAACTTTGATTTTAATTTCCTATTTCAGAGACAATTAAAACCCTATATTCTGGAAACCAGCAAATCTCATGGGATCTTTATCTCACCACTTCAGGCAGTTCTACTATACCTCTACCTCTGCTGGCTGCAGTCACTGTTCCTGATCACTGAAGCTACCTGCAGAGCCCTCTGGTCACCGCTACTGCCTTTTTATTACCAGTTTCCCTATAGTGATCGTGTAGATTTTTCCATACAGCTGTAGTGACTAGTGGAAGCAGGAGCATTGTCAGCAGGGCTTGGAGTCGCTTGGAGCTGAATGTCTATTAAAAATTTTATGAAAGACCTCCACCCACAGTTGTACTTTGGTTTGTTAGATGCTAATCTGCTGGTTGGGCAGTTGATATCCTGGCCAGACAGGATGCCAGCTCCAGGCAGCCATCATGGGCAGCACTCACTAGAATATCGTAAAAGGGCAAATTTTAGACGAGAGCCACATAACTCACCAGCATATCTTTGAAGTGCGAGATGAAAACCACACAAGCACAGGGAGGACAGGGAAACTTCATGCAGATAGTGCCTTACAATCGAGGAATTGAACTGAGGACCCCGGTGCTGCAAAGGCAGAAGTGCTAACCAATAAGCCACTATGCTGTCTTATCCCCTTTGTGCTCCTGCCTAATGCAATTTAGACTTTAATAAAGGAATCGCCTAATCCATTACTGACAGTAGCAGTTGGTGGAGAAAATTGACAGAGGAACTCCAGAGTGATTTTTAACTCATCTACTTGAAGAGTGCAACATTTTTATGGCTGGGTGGAGGTCCTTACTGAGATGCCTACCCTATGCTTACCAACCCCCTAAGTGCCATTTGTGAAGGGTCCCTGACAATGTTTGTAGCTAGAACTGCAAAGGCCTGTCTTGTGCACTAACTGTGCTCTGTTTTCCAGCCTATTACACAAGCATGGTGGCCACAATTATTGTATTGTTAAAGCCAACATATAGCAAAGTGAAAAAGATGCCCTCTATTCAGGAGCAATTGCAGTGGCTCTGAACTCTGATCCTCCTATCCCACTAACAAGGTTGTTTTTCCAGTTCTCTTCATAGACTCACAGATGAAACTGCTGATGTCCTGTTAGTCTAGGTTCACACCTGTGCAGGTTGCGTTTTGAGGCATTTCTGCATTGCGTTTGAGTTTTGCCTCTCTTTTTTTTTTCTTGTTGCTAGGCAGGTTTAAAATGCATCAAGAACGCAATACATGCTTTTCTGCAGCATTTCCATTGAAGTCTATAGAACCAAAAATGCAACTTTTTGCATTCAAAAAGGCCCCTGACCCTTTCCAAAAAACGCAAACTGGTGAAAACGCGGAGATGTGAACCCATAGAAAATCATGTTAAATGGACTGTACTGCGTTTCTGAAAACACTTTGATGTGAACCTAGGGTTACACAGGATGATACAACTGTGCCCCACTAGGGATAGGCAGCTAAAAGACCATTTACTTTAATTGTGTTAGAAACCATTCTGCATTTTTATGTAAAGCCCATCTGACCATTCAAGTTAAATCAGCTAAATACATTCTAAGTGCAGCAAAACAAAAAGTGTTCAAATCCTTGTTTGTTTCTGAAGAAAGCAGCTACAGTCTCGAGTAAAAAAGCCTTTCCCTTGCCAGCATGTTCTGGAGAACAATCCTTGCTTTCTCTCTTTTTCTCTATGGAAGCATTCATCTTTCTGCAGAAGTCTGACACATTCCCTACCGAGTCAGACTTGTAGCTCTGCAATAAGCAAAGCTCATGTTCCCTGCTGACTGGACAGCAGAGGGTGTATCAGACCTCTGCAGAGAGCTCATAACCAAGGGTCCTTCTCTACAGCATAAAGGCAACATTATGATTTAAACTGAAAGATCAGTGAGGCTTTCAGACTCAAATAAGTACCTGGACTGTTATTTGCCTCTGATCTCTCACACAGCAGCATTTACATAGTTACATAGTTAGTCTGGCTGAAAAAAGAAGTCCATCCAGTTCAACCACAAAAAAAAAGTTATAATCCTATGTCCACAGTTGATCTAGAAGAAGGCAAAGAACTCAGCAAAGCATGATCCAATTTGCTCCTGCAAGTAAAAAAAACTCCTTCCTTATCCCTCGAGAGGCAATCGGATATTCCGGGGATCAACTTTACACATAAATGTTAGTATCCAGTTATATTCTGTGTATCCAAGAAACAATCCAGGCCTTTTTTAAAGCAATCCACTGAGCTGGTCAGAACCAACTCTTGGAGTCTATTCCACATTTTCACAGCTCTCACTGTGAAGAAACCTTTCCATATTTGGAGATTAAATCTCTTTTCCTCCAGACATAAAGAGTGCCCCCTTGTCCTCTGAGATGACCTCATGGTGAATAACTACACCGAGTTCACTATATGAACCACTGATGTATTTATACACGTTGATCATATCCCCCCTTAATCTCCTCTTCTCAAGATAATAAATTCAGTTCCTCTAATCTTTCCTCATAGCTGATCTCCTCCATGCCTCTTATCAGTTTGGTTGCCCTTCTCTGTACTTTCTCCAGTTCCCCCATGTTCTTTATGTGAATTGGTGCTCAAAACTGAACTGCATATTCCAGATGAGGTCTTACTAATGATTTGTACCGGGGAAATGATATCTCTCTCTCTGGAGTCTATACCTCTTTTAATACAAGAGAGGATTTTGCTTGCATCCTCGCATCCGCTTGCCAATTAGGGTTTTTTTGCTTTACACACTACTGTCAGCCTGAATGTTGAACCTGCTTCTAGGTGAAAAGGCTAGTGACCTCAACACTATTTTGTCCAATCACAGACTGATGGTTACCCTGTCCAGGCTGTATTGCTTAACTTCATATAGTCTGCAGGAAGGAACAGGAACTTGCTCCGATATCTGGAAGGGGAGCCTGGAACACAAGAATTGTCGAAGAGAATAACAAGCCAGGTCACATTCACTTATGACAACTGTATATTTAGAGCCTTGGACATAGTTGTTGGTACCATTTAATGAAAAAGAAGAATCTATTAATTCCTCTGAAATAACTTGAAACTGACAAAAGTAATTGACATCCATTTAATACAAATCAGACTTTGCTATTGCTTTTTTATTTAAAAGAATGATTTAAATAAAAACAAATGAAAATGGTATTGACACAAATAATGGAACCCTTAACCAGATGTTTTTTCTGCACAGCCTTTAGAGGTAATCCATGTTGGCAAATGATTTCTGTAGCTGTTAGTGAGATTTCAGCACCTGCCTACAGGAGGTTTTGGCCACTCCATTTGAGCATACTGCTCCAGCTGTCTCAAGTTTGAAGGGTGCCTTTTACTAGATTGCATGTTTCAGCTCCTTCCATAGATATTTCATAGGAAGCAATTTGGGGGTCATAATAGGACACTCTTGAATAGTCCATTGTTTTGTTCTCTGCCATTCTTGGGTGCTTTTAACTGTGTATTTTGAGTTATTATCCCTTTGGAGGATCCAAGACCTGTGATTGAGTTTTCAGACATTGGAAAGTATGTTTTGCTTCACAATTCCTTGTTAGTTTTCATTGTACTCTGCACAGACTCAAGGCACTCCTGGGGTTTATTAACCACATGCCGCCCAGCCACCGCATATAAACGGTGGCAGGGCGGCGCTCGTAGGCAAAAGCACGTTTTAAAACGGCTGCCTTCAAAACAGGTAGGGGGGCACGCGCCAGCCCTACCTGTCCCGCGGGTGTCAGCAGCGGGTCTCCGCCGCGCGGTGATCACTGACACAGAGCAGGGCTGCACTGTTTACACACAGCCCTGCTCTGTGACAGCTCGCCGACAAGCTGCAGAGGGAGAGAAGAGTTTCTCTCCCTCGATCAGCTCCCCCCATCCAGTACACACCCCCGCCCCCTAGTAAAACACTCCCCTCACACAGCAAATTATAAAAATGTTAACCCCTTCCTCCCCAGTGACATTAGTACAGTTTCAGTGGGTTTTTTTTTCACTGATCACTGTATTGGTGTCACTGGGGATGCCAGTAACCCCAAGTCAGCTCCCCCCCCCCAGTGTCAAAATGTCCGCCGCAGTCCCGCCATAAGTCGCTGGTCGCCGTCATATGTCGCTGATCGGCTCCATTATTAGTATAAATAAAAATTAAAAATCCTAGTATCTTTTCCGCCATTTGTAAACGCTATAACTTTCACGTAAACCAATTAATTTACACGTATTGGGTTTTTTTTTTTAGCAAAGACGTCGCAGAATGCATTTTGGCAGAAATTTATTACTAAATTTGATTTTTGCATTTTTTTTTTTTACTGGACATGTTTTATAGCAAAAAGTCCAAAATATTGTTTTTTTTTCCTCAAAATTGTCAGCCTTTTTTTTATAGTGCAAAAAATAAAAACCGCACAGGCAATCAAAAACCACCGAAAGAAAGCTCAATTTGTGGGGAAAAAAAGGATGTAAATTTCATTTATGTACCGTATTGCATGACTGCGCAATTGTCTGTTAAACTAGCGCAGCACTGTATAGCAGAAAAATGGCGTAAATTGCAGTATTTATACCATACTTTGTAGACGCTATAACTTCCACACAAAGCAATCAATATACACTTATTGGGTTTTTGTTTTACCAAAAACATGTAGCAGAATACATTTTGGCCTAAATTTATAACCAACTTTGAGTTTACTATATATTTTTTATAGCTGAAAGTAAAAAATATTGTTTTTCTTCAAAATTTTTGGCCTTTTTTTGTTTATAGCGTGAAAAATAAAAAGTGCACAGGTGATCAAATACCACCGAAAGAAAGCTCTATTTATGTGAAAAAAGGACGTAAATTTCATTTGGGTGCAGCATTGCAAGACCGCGCAATTATCAGTGAATTAGTGCAGCGCCGAGTAGCAAAAAGAGGCCTGGTCATTAAGGGGGGTAAATCCTCAGGAGCTCAAGTAGTTAAAGCTGGAGAGTTCAAAATTAGGTGCACTTCTGCATAGGAACCAATCAGCTTCTAGGTTTTTTTTTTTTTTTTTGCCAAAGCTTAATT